CACACACCACTACTGCTTTTCTTTTTCCAGATTTTATTTTGTTAGGTTTTGGTTTGATTGTTTTGTTTTGAAACAGGGTCTCTCTACACAGACCTGGCTGTCCTGGGACTCGATCTGTAGACCAATCTGGCTTTGAACTCATAGAGATCCACCTGTCTCTGCCTCCCAAGTGCTGGGATTAAAGGCGTGCGCCACCACATCTGGCTCTATGTCAATATTTTTTAAACAGCCTTCAGATCCCTCAGGACCTGACTCATCCCTCCTATCTGCTGACCCCTCCGTTTCACACTCCCACCTAAGAACCTTCTATACTTCATTCCTGGAATGTTCTTGACCCAGATAGCTGCAGAGTTAGTCGGCTCTTCCTCTGCAAGAGCAGCCAGTGCTCTTAATTTCTGAGCCATCTCTCCAGTCCAGTCCAGTCCAGTTCATGCAAGCTGCACTTCCTAGGAAAAGGTTGGGGGAGCAACAGCTGTTTTTCCAAAGGAGAGATGAGCCAGAGAAAGGGCCCTACCCTGAGTTAACTGGGTGGGAAGCCCATTCTGGATACACAGCCCATGGTCCTTGTATGTGTGTATGTATGTGTGTTTGGAGGGGGGTTTACAGGTCAGGGGTACATGTATGTGCACATTGCATGTGGAGGCCAGAGACCTACCTCAACCTGTCCACTTTAAGAAGTATGTTTATTTTGTGTGTATGTGTGTACAGGTTGCACACTTGCCTGTATGTGCATTGTGTGTGCAGGTACCTTTGGAACACCAGATACCCTGCAGCTGGAGTTGTGAGCAGTTGTGAGGTGACCAGCCTTTGTGGGTGCTGGGAACTGAACATGGGCCCTCTGCAAGAACAGCAGGTGCTCTTAACTACTGAATCACCTCTCCATCCAACAGGGTCTCACTATGTACCCCTGACTGCCCAGAACTTACATGTAGACCAGGCTGGCCTTGAACTCTGCCTACTGGGATTAGGGATGAGAGTCACCACCTCCTGGCAAAACCTGAGTCTTAACATCTTACTTTGAGAGTTTCTCCCAGAGGAGCTAGGACAAAGGGACAGGAAGACTGCTCAGGTGACGTCTTAGTTAACATTTGATTGCTGCAAATAGACACCATGACCACGGCAACTCTTATAAAGGAAAACATTTAATTGGGACTGGCTTACAGTTCAGAGATTTAGTCCATTGTCATCATGGCAGGCTGCATGGCAGTGTGAAGATAGACATGGCACATGGCAGATAGGTAGCTCCAAGTTCTAGATCCAGACTGGCAGACAGCAGGAAGAGTGATTGGGCCACTAGGCCTGGCTTGAGCTTCAGAAACCTCAAAGCCCACTCCCTAGTGACACACTTCCTCCAACAAGGCCACTCCTCCTATAATTCCCTATGGGGCCATTTTCAAACTACCACAAGTGCGATAACACAATACACAATGCTGGCACTCAGGACACCAAGGCAGGGAGACCATGAGTTCTAGGTCAGTCTGGGTTATATAGTGAGACCCTGTGTCAAAGGAATGGGCATGTCATGGCACATGCCTGTAATCCCAGCACTTCAAGAGGCAGTGCAGGAGAACAAAGCAAGTTCAAGTCCAGCCTGGTCAACACAAAGAGACCTTGTCTCTTGGGGTTCAGGAAATGACTCAGTCGGTACCTTACAAGCATCAGGACCTGAGCCTGATGTCCAGCAACTGTGTAAAAAGCCTGTGTTTGTGACACCAGGGCTGGAGAGACAGGGACCTCTGGGGCTCAGCGGCCAGATAGCTGAAAAGGACTGGTGAGCTCCAGGTTCACCAACAGATCCTGGCTGGAAAGAAAGAAAGAAAGAAAGAAAGAAAGCAGAACAAACAAGGTGGGGCTGGAGAGCTGGCTCAGCAGTTAAGAGCACTTGCTGTTCTTGCAGAGGACCCAGGTTCAATTCTCAGCTCCCACACATTGGCTGACAACTATAGTGTAACTCCAGTTCCAGGGAATCCGATGCCCACTTCTGGCTTCCCTGGGCACCAGGTGCACATGTGGTGTATACAAATACATGCCGGCAAAACGTGCATACATATAAAACACCCCCCAAAAAGTGGAGAGAGATAGGGTTCTACATGCACACACACACACCCACACCCACACCCACCCCCACACACACACGCACGCACGCACGCACGCACACGCACACGCACACGCACATGTATGCATGCACACACGTGCATAGACTGGCAGGGGTGGGGGAGATGAACCCAGGTATATTGAGATAAATACAAAGATGTTAGGGAAATTTATTTCTGATAGGGACTAGCTTTGGGCTGAAAGCATTTCCCCCTAGGGTTCCAGAAGGTTCCAGGCAGGCCCCAGCCCAGGCTCAGCCACTTGGCCCCTGGAGAAAGCCCTTGGAACCTTTCAGGAACTCCGCTCAACTGAGCTCAGTTGGTCCATGTGGTGGGTGTGATATCTCTTCATGCGAACTTGCTCCTCTGGGCCGAACACAGGAGTCCTCCAGCAGCTTCAGGAGTTGGGTGACAGGAGATGGGAGAGAGAGGTTAGTGAAGGGCCCTAACTCTGCCTCCACTTTCATGTGGCTTCCAGGGATCAAACTGACATGGGGCATTGAAAAGATAACAGACCCCTCTTTGGTGAAAACAGCCCACCAGTTCAGTTTCCAGCTCCCTGTGCAGTGGTTTGAAGCTCTAAAAACCACAGTGGGGTTTAGATAAGACCCTTTAAAGTTATTATTGTTATCAGTTGAGGGTGTGTGTGTCAAAGAGCACCTAGGGGTCAGTGAGAGGGCTCTGTGAGTGAAAGTCCTTGCTACCAAGCCTGAGGATTTGAGTTTGGTCCCTGGGTCTCACATGGTTGAAGGAGAGAGTCGACTCCAAAAGGTTGTGGTCTGACTTCCCCATATGTGTTATGGTGCACACATGCCACACACAAAATCAAGTGTAACATAGAAAGAAACAACTTTACAATTGGCTCCTCCCTCTCTGTTTGTGCATTTATGTTTGTTTATTTTGTTTTTTGAGACAAGGTCTTATTATGTAGCCCTGACAGTCCTGGAACTTGCTATATAGACCAGGCTGGCCTTGAACTCCTTATGTGATGGAGGATGGCCTTGAACTCCTGATCCTTCTGCCTCTACCTCCTAGCTGCTGGAATTACAGATGTGCACCACCACCACACACATCTGTTTTAAGCAGTGCTGATGATACCTTCGTGCATTCTAGGGCAAGCACTCTACCACCCAAGCCATGCCCCAGCTTGGGAATAAAGAGACACTTATGCCCTTCCCTTTGGCTATCAGATTATAAAGCAATGGATCCCGAGAAGTTCCTTAGGAATCAGTCTTGTGCTGGGGAAGCAGAGGGCTGAAGCCTGGCACCAGCCAGAGGGAGACTGGCAGAAGACAATGTCAGATGGTCAGTAGATGGCTGGGACCACGCCTTCACCAGGATTGCTCAACCGTGCCTATTCCTTACCCTCTATTTAAACCTAAACCTTAAGTCAAGATCTTGCCAGAATCCCAAAGGTTGATGTAGCAAGTCATTGGGTCTCTTTGTTACTCTTTCCCATGTGGCCACATTGAATTTTTTGATTTATTTTATTCTGTTACTTTGAAGTGTGTGTGTGTGTGTGTGTGTGTGTGTGTGTGTGTGTGTGTGTGAGTCGTCAGACACGGGTGTTGGGAACTGAACTCAGGTTCTGTGAGTGTAGTACACACTCCAAACCACTGGGCCATCCTTCCAGCCCCGCCTCATTATCACCCATCTGTTTAATTGGCCCATCCAGAATGGGTGACGGAACCTAGCTTGCTAGGGCTGTCAGCCCCCAGGCTTTGATCCTAATAGGTCCAATAATACCTTCTCAGGGCCCGGACCCAACCTAAATCCAGGGATCCTCTAAAGTGGTTCTCAAGCTCCCTAACGCTGTGACCCTTTAATTCCCCATGCTGTTGTGACTCCCAACCATAAAGTTATTTTTGTTACGACTTCATAACTGTAATCTTGCTACTGTTATGAAGCGCAATGCAAACAAACATCCACTAATCAGGATATCTAATTTGTGACCCCTGTGAAACGTTTTCTGACTACCCGCTTGATTGCAATTCCATATACTGCCGTCAGGGGGCAAGCGGCGACCGCTGAGAAACCAGGCCTTTGATAGAGACAGGGAGGATGGGCCATCCATCAGTCAACAGCAAGAAGCCTCCAAGGAAGGGTACTGCTGGGAGGCAGGACAACACCATCCCTGTCCACTCACCAAGCAGATATGACCAGGACCAGGAAGACAGCCAGCAAGATTGACAAGAAAGCAATGATGAACACAGTGCCCTTGCTCCGGAACCCTGGGTCTCCTGGGAATGTCTGGGCTGCACAGACAAGCAGGAAAAAGTTAATTATCCCCAAACAAGGGCCACTTAGTCAGCTTTCAAACCAACCATACTGTGTCCACTGGGGGTGTGTGAGGATCCAACAGGGACAGACTAGGAGAGGGGCACAAGCAAAGAACGGGATGGGGGAGACCCACTTCCCCAGCCCCTGATGTCCCCAGGTCCGATAGCACCCCCTATATCCTTTGAGCTGCTCTCATGTCCCATACCTTGCTGCAGGTAGATTTCCTCAGACCACTGCGTCTCAGCAACGGGTCCTTTGGGGCTCATTGCCAGGAACTTCACTCTGAACAGGAGACCAGCAAAGACAGTGGAGATTCCCCACGGTCCTAAAACACTGAGATCCCCATGCCTGGATCCTGTCCTCTGGGGACAGCAGCCTGAGGCAGGAGTCAGGACTGGGACTAGAAAGCACAGCCCCAGAGCTCAGCAGAAGCTGAGACCTATTCGAGCTGTGGGACATTGGCAGCGGCCCTCGCTGGGTGTGTGTGGATTAGATCTCTCCATACCAAATATGAGTGATTCAAACATCAAGTCAGGAGAGAGAGGGTCTCCAGGCTAGTCTCCACCTATGAATGCCTGGTGTGGACTAGGGACAATCCTTGGCGTAAGGAGGTTGAGTTACGAGGATAACTATTTAAAAGATGTGAGGAGACCTTAAGAGGACATATTGCACCCACAGCTGGTAGCTCAGCTGCCTATAGCTCTAGTCCCAGGGATCAGACACACGTGTAGCTAACCACATCGACATAATTAAAAATAAAATAAATCTTTTTTTAAAGATTTCATTTTGTTATTATCTTATGTGTATGAGTGTTTTGCTTACATATATGTCTGCATACATGCATTTGTGGTGCCCTCAGAGGCCAGAAGAGGGTGTGGGGTTTCCTGTTATTAGAGTTATAGACTGTTGTGAGCCACCATGTGGGTGCTGGTTATCAAACCTGGCTCCTCTGGAACAGCAGACAGTGCTCTTAACCACTGAGCCATCACTCCAGCCCCCATAATTTATGGTTTTTGCTTGTTTGTTTTTTGAGACTGGATTTCTCTGTGGCTTTGGAGGCTGTCCTGGCACTCGCTCTGTAGACCAGGCTGGCTTTGAATTCACAGAGATCTGCCTGGGATTAAAGGCGTGCACCACCACCACTCTTTTTTTTTTTTTTTTAAGAAAGAAAGAAGTTCAGTGCTTAGTAGTACTTGTTGTTACAAAAGGACCCAACCTGGATTCCTACAGACTATCCACACGGAGACTCAACATCTTCTTGGGCACCAGGCACATATGTGGCACCTAAGTGTTAGGATTCAGACATTATGCTGGCCTGCCCTTGTCACCTGGCAGAATGCACTCAGGAAGTACCCTGGTCAGCCCTGGTGCAAAGAATCCTTTAAAAGAAAGGCCCCTGCCCATTTACACTCTCTCCCCTTCTGCTCTCTCTTCTCTGCTGTTCCGCTGGGACAGATAGGACTTTTCCTGCCTCCCTCTTCTCTTCTATCCTCTCTCTGTCTCTGTGTCTTTTTACCTCTTTTCTCTTTCATTTCCGCCTTGCTCTTTCTGATAAAACTTCTCACTTAAGCTGTCGGCCTGGCGTGTTTGTCCCTCCCCCTTAGTCACCTCCCAATGCCATGGAATCCTCCAAGGTCCCCCAAGAATTTTATCATAACAGTAAGGACCTGCCTACAATCCCCCAGTGAGAGGGTGGGGTGTGCTAGAACACCCATTTAGCTTTATCCATGCCCAGGTCCCACCCCCAGCACCACTATGTAAAAAAAGAAGGAAGGAAAAATACTGGGGAACCCAGGCACCCCATCTGACCTCAGTGAGCCACCTAGTAGTTGCCCTGGGCTCCCGTTTGTCCCAGGCAGGGCCCCTCCCCCATCTTCGCTGCTCACCTGTAGGGACCAGAACCTGGCAGAGGAGAGTTACAGCCCTGGAACTCCAAGGAGCAGTTGGTGTCATTGCCAACACGGAGGACTCGGAGCTGGCTGCTAACCTGTTGGCCCTGGTAGTGTACCCGGCTGGCCCTCAGTGTGAGGTAGTAGCCATTTCGATCAAAGCCGGCAGGGGCATGGTTGTCCTCTACCTTCTGCGGGGCAGCAAAGTTCTGGGTGGCTGAGGGTAACACTGAGGGTCAGCCAATAGGAATCACATGGGCAGGACCAAAAATTCCATACTTGCAAGCTTGACAGCCACAGCCACAGCCCCCAAAGCACCCTCCTCCCTGCTCCCCCTGCCAGCTCCACCTCAGACCCCAGCCCTGTTTGCCTACTTCACAGAGAGAAAACAAGCACGTACAGTTGCTGTGAGCCACCACTAGCCAGATGGGGTCTGGGTCAGAGAGGTTGACATTCTCAAATTGGCCCAGGGGCTGCTCCAGTGCGAAGGTGGACTGTGTGAGCCTTCCCAACAGGGTGGCATTGTAGAGCTGGGGCACATAGTGGATGCTCTCTGGGAAGGGTGGGAAAAGATGGCAGGGGGAGGCTGAGTAAGTCAGTCCAGCTTCAACCAAGGCAGGATGTATCTGCCTCCGAAGTCACAGTCCCAAGGGAATGAAGGAACCATTTTTCCACCACATTTTTTTTTTTTTAAGTTTTTCGAGACAGGGTTTCTCTGTATTGCTTTGGAGGCTGACCTGGAACTCTCTCTGTAGACCAGGCTAGCTTCGAACTCACAGAGATCCTCCTGCCTCTGTATTTATTCTCTCTCTCTCTCTCTCTCTCTCTCTCTCCATATGGCTCTTACGCTGAGTGTGTGTGTGCGTGTGTGTGCGTGTGTGTGTGTGCGTGTGTGCGTGTGTGCGTGTGTGCGTGTGTGCGTGTGTGCGTGTGTGCGTGTGTGCGTGTGTGCGTGTGTGCGTGTGTGCGTGTGTGCGTGTGTGCGTGTGTGCGTGTGTGCGTGTGTGCGTGTGTGCGTGTGTGCGTGTGTGCGTGTGTGCGTGTGTGCGTGTGTGCGTGTGTGCGTGTGTGCGTGTGTGCGTGTGTGCGTGTGTGCGTGTGTGCGTGTGTGCGTGTGTGCGTGTGTGCGTGTGTGCGTGTGTGCGTGTGTGCGTGTGTGCGTGTGTGCGTGTGTGCGTGTGTGCGTGTGTGCGTGTGTGCGTGTGTGCGTGTGTGCGTGTGTGCGTGTGTGCGTGTGTGCGTGTGTGCGTGTGTGCGTGTGTGCGTGTGTGCGTGTGTGCGTGTGTGCGTGTGTGCGTGTGTGCGTGTGTGCGTGTGTGCGTGTGTGCGTGTGTGCGTGTGTGCGTGTGTGCGTGTGTGCGTGTGTGCGTGTGTGCGTGTGTGCGTGTGTGCGTGTGTGCGTGTGTGCGTGTGTGCGTGTGTGCGTGTGTGCGTGTGTGCGTGTGTGCGTGTGTGCGTGTGTGCGTGTGTGCGTGTGTGCGTGTGTGCGTGTGTGCGTGTGTGCGTGTGTGCGTGTGTGCGTGTGTGCGTGTGTGCGTGTGTGCGTGTGTGCGTGTGTGCGTGTGTGCGTGTGTGCGTGTGTGCGTGTGTGCGTGTGTGCGTGTGTGCGTGTGTGCGTGTGTGCGTGTGTGCGTGTGTGCGTGTGTGCGTGTGTGCGTGTGTGCGTGTGTGCGTGTGTGCGTGTGTGCGTGTGTGCGTGTGTGCGTGTGTGCGTGTGTGCGTGTGTGCGTGTGTGCGTGTGTGCGTGTGTGCGTGTGTGCGTGTGTGCGTGTGTGCGTGTGTGCGTGTGTGCGTGTGTGCGTGTGTGCGTGTGTGCGTGTGTGCGTGTGTGCGTGTGTGCGTGTGTGCGTGTGTGCGTGTGTGCGTGTGTGCGTGTGTGCGTGTGTGCGTGTGTGCGTGTGTGCGTGTGTGCGTGTGTGCGTGTGTGCGTGTGTGCGTGTGTGCGTGTGTGCGTGTGTGCGTGTGTGCGTGTGTGCGTGTGTGTGTGGGGGTGTGTGTGCGCGTGTGTGTGCGTGTGTGTGTGCGTATGTGTGTGTGCGTGTGTGTGTGTACATGCCCACGTATGCCACAGGTCAAGGACGATTTGGGGGAGTTGGTTCTCTACCTTGTGGGTCCTGGGGATCAAACTGATCATTAGGCTTATGGGCAAATGTCTGTTTCAGCTGAGCCATTTTACCTGATCCAAAATTAAGGGATCTTTATGGGAGGAGCCCTTGTGGGGCTGTGGATCACCTGGACCCTCCTCTTTTGATAGCCTATGGGAAGGTCGGTGCTGTGTCCCTGGACAAGGAATGGCAGATGGACAAAGGGAGGCTCAGGAGACTCAGATTCGGGGCATCCAGAATCCAAGGCTGGGCTTGTCCAGAGACCCTGAGTGTCTCTCCTGCTCAAGCCATGTGGTCCAGGCTCCTTAGTTTTGATGAGAATGAACAAGAGCTGGAAAGATGATTCCACACACAGTAAAGTGCTTGCCTCCCAAACATGAGGACATGAGGTTAGATTCCCAGAACCATGTCAAAAGTAAGGCACGGTGTGGGGCACCTGTCATCCCAGAGACAGTGAGATGGGCCACAGGCACAAGAGAATTCCCTGAACTGATGGGGAGACTGGCCTGGCCCACATGGCAAAGTTCCTGGCCAATGAGAGACCCTGTCTCAAAGAGAAGGCGGAAAGACCCTGAATAGCAGGACCCGTGGTCATCTGCTGACCTATACACACCCTACAGAGCCACATACCTGTACCCTCATGTGCACGTGTGTGTGTACTCGTGTGCACACAGAAAGAGACAGACAGACAGAGAGGTGACCTGCATGAAAGGGGCAGCAGGGGAGGCACACAAATGTTCCCTGTGTTGTGTTCCCAGTGCATTGTGGGGCTCAGAGGATCACCTTGGAACACAGCTAGCTCATTCAAAGACATTGCTTGCTCTTTTGTGAATTTTTTGCCACCTTCCATCCTCACAGTGGTCACATGACCAACACCATCACGGCCACATGCCCAATGCCTAGCCTTTCCACCTGAATCCCTTTTGTTCCCTTCTCAGAGCTATCTATTCAGTTTCATATGCTACAGGGGACCCCAAGGGAGCATCACAGCTTTGTCCAGCTTGCTGCTCATGGGAGAAGCTATGCCCTCCACGAAATCCTCCCTGAGTGCTCCCCTGCCCAGGACCAAAACCACAGTATGCCTCCAACTCCAAACCCCTAACACTGGGACAATAAGCAGGATGACGTGGGCTGTCCTACAAATCTCTTATCAGTCCAGGGCTGAGGAGGTGACTCAGTGGGAAAGTGACTGCCTTGCAAGCTTGAGAACCTGAGTTCTAATCCCCAGCACACACATAAACAGCCAAGTGTGATGACATACATCTGTCATCCCAGCTATTGTGGAGACAGGCAGGTCCCTGGAAACTGACACCCCAGGTGATCCTCTGAGCCCCACAATGCACTGTGGACAACACAGCCGTATACACAACGTTTGTTTGTTTGGAGGCAGGGCTTCTCTGTGTATCCCTGGCTGTCCTAGAACTCACAGAGATTCACCCGGCCTGAATGCTGAGTTCTGCACCCAGGATCTATCAATTGGCTTCTGAAAGCTGCCCTCTGACCTCCACACTTACATCACAACATACACTCACCAATTCCCCCCCCCCACACACACACGCTGACACACACACACACACACACACACACACGCTGACACACATACACATTAAACAAACAAGTAAAAACAAAGCCCCGTCCTACCATAGAAGACTAGGGTATTCTGTATACAGTAGGTAGTTAACAGTTGCTTAATTTGAGGGAAGAGGGGTTATGGAGGTAAGGAGTTACTAAGGAGCCACTGGTAAAAATATAGGCGTGAGAATCCACAAGAGGAGAGCAGCAGTGTTCTTGCTCTTCATTCTGGGGGTTGAGGGATAGGCGTCAATCCGTAACTGTGTGAGCTGGGCTGAGTGCCTTGACACACCCAGGCACCCAGTCCACAACCAAGGGAGGGGCACTGGAGGTGCCTGGAGATCCAAAGGCAGTGTTCCATCCTACAGGGGGCCAAGTATGTCGGGGTACCCCCACTCCCCAGCCTCACTCACCCAGACCTGCCCCAGACTGGGCACGAATCACCAGCAGCAGCAGTGACATCAGCAGTGAAGACTGTATCTCGTGGAGCTCCATGGCTGGGATGCTGTCCTTCTTCCAAGGACCATCTGAAGTGCAGCCCCAGCTGCTCTGTCTGGGCTGGGCTGCTCCCACTTTGAGGGTGCCTTCTCCTCCCATACAACTGGTTGGACAGGTTCGGGGCTGAGCCCATAGAGCGAGACTAGTCAGGACCCCTGCACCCTACTCCAAGAGGGCCTGGACTGGGAGGAGCCAAGAATGGAGCAGGCAGCTCTGGGCATAGGCTGTCCCATAAAAATCCTGCCTTGCCTGTTCTGTATCTTGCCACTAGGACACCTTACTCCCTCATGAGTGAGGGAGCCCCTTTATCTTCTAGACAAGGGACACAGATCAAGATCACCTAAACTGACAGGCAAAACCTTGAGGTGGTCTCAGCAAATGTTAGCCCTGGGACACACACACACACACACACACACACGCTCTCTCTCTCTCTCTCTCTCTCTGTGTGTTTGTGTGTGTGTGTCTGTCTGTCTGTCTCTGTCTCTGTCTCTCTCCTCTCTCTCTCTCTCTCTCTGTGTGTTTGTGTGTGTGTGTCTGTCTGTCTGTCTCTGTCTCTGTCTCTCTCCTCTCTCTCTCTCTCTCTCTCTCTCTGTGTGTTTGTGTGTGTGTGTCTGTCTGTCTGTCTCTGTCTCTCTCTCTCTCTCCTCTCTCTCTCTCTCTCTCTGTGTGTGTGTGTTTGTTGTTTTGTGTCTGTCACGGTCTCTCTCTCCCTCCGCTCTCTCTCTCTCTCTCTCTGTGTGTGTGTGTTTGTTGTTTTGTGTCTGTCACGGTCTCTCTCTCCCTCCGCTCTCTCTCTCTCTCTCTCTGTGTCTGTCTGTGTGTGTGTGTGTCTGTCTCTGTCTCTGTCTCTGTCTCTCTCTCTCTGTGTGTGTCTCTGTCTCTGTCTCTCTCTCTGTGCCTCTCTCCTTCCCTCCCTCCATCCCCCTCCCCCCTTTCAGATAGAGTCTCTAAGATGGCCTCAGACTGAGTATATAGCCAAGGATGACCCTGAACTCCTGATCTTCCATCATGAGTGCTGGGATTACAGGAGAGCTCCAGCCACCACAGCTAGCAAGCCACAGTGTATACCCACACTGATAATGTTTCTATATCTCTATGTATGTGTGAGATATGTATGAGAAAGATGATAGACAGACAGACAGACAGACAGACAGACAGACAGACAGACAGATAGATAGAGGCTGAGATATAGCTCAATGATAATGATAGAATTCTTTCCTGGCATGTATATGGCTTTGAGTTCCTTCCCCAGCATCACAAATATATGGGTGTATGTGTGTGTATACATGCATACATACATACATGCATACATATTCTCGCTTTCTCTCTCTCAAATGGAAGTTGAAAGCAGTCACCAGAAAGAACCCAGGTACAGTTAGGGCCTCACACCTATAATTCCATCACTGGGGTGGTGGAAGCAGGGGGATCGGGAGTTCAAGGTCAGCCTCAGCTACATAGCCAGCCTGGGCTACAGTACATATGCCTAAAAAAATCAAATAAAGCAGGGTGAAAAGGGTGTTCCTCGAAAAAGCATGTTCTTGCTCATCCTGTCTCAAGTCCCCAGAACTGGGCAGGGTCGGCCTCACGATTAATGCTATCAGACAGAGGAAAGGGTGGCTCCCACAGGGAGGATAACTCCTGCACCCTCATGGTGGGTCAACCGTGACTCTAGGCAGCAGCATGCTCTCCCCACACCCAGGCAGGCTGCTGCTCGCTCCCCTTCCGTGTCTAAGGCAAACGATTCATTTATTTCTCTTCGTGTTCCCATCTCCATTCCACTCCTGCCTCCTGCCTCCTGCCCCAGGCATCTGCTCTAACTAGTATGGTAGAGACCTTTGTATCAGCTACCTATGGTGGCATAACAAATGAGCCCAGAACTGAAAACTTGAAGTAATAAACACCTTTCCCCCTTTTTAAAAGTCTACAGTCTTTTTTCTCCTGTCTTTTTAAAATAAAATTTATTCATGTATTTTATGTATATGAGTGCTCTGTCTTCATCCACACCCGAAGGAGGAATCTGATCCCATCACAAATGGTTGTGGTGCTGGGAATTGCACTCAGGCCCTCTGGAAGAGCAGAAATCTCTCCAGCCCCATTTCTTTTTTCTGATTGTGCATTTATTAATTATTTATCTTTGTGCACGTGTATGTGTAACGTGTGTAACTTGTGTGCATGCCATAGCTTCTCTGTGGCAGTCAGAGGACAACTTTCTACTCCACCTTGTTGGGGCAGGGTCTTTCTTGTTTCTGTTGCTGTGTTGTGTCATACTCCAGGCTGGCTGGCTCATGAACTTTCTGGGTGATCCTCCTGTTCCCATTTCAGCATAGAACTGGTGGCATTACAGATGCACACACCTGTATCTGACTTTAAGATTTTTACTGTGTGTGTGTGTGCTTATGTCAAGTTCAGAGGACAACTCTGGAGTCAGTTCTCTCCTCCCGCTGGGCATGATGCTCACTCAGGTCATGGCAGTGGGAGTATGTGGTAAGGTTGTTCACATCATGATGAACCAGGAGGCAGAAAGCTCGGGATAACCTTTGGAGAACCACCTCTAGGACCTATTTCTGCAACCAGACCCCACCACCTCCACTACATTCTAAAACAGTGCTGCTAGCTGGGGACCAAGTACCCAAGGCATGAGCCTCTGGGGGACTTTTCAGATTTAAGTCAGAACATGGCAGTTGCCTCTTTCTCCATTAAACTGAGGGCAGGGGTCAGCCTGTTTAGCTCCACCAGGTTTGTGCTGTGTCTATGATGTGTCGAATAGATTTGTCCAAAAACTGATAATATGCAAAGTTCTCTGCTCAGTTGTCTGACTGTGGCCTGGGACTGCCATTTTATTTTGCAACATCAGGTGTATGGCCAGTATGGCATGGCTTCCTCCCTTCTGGGTCCTAGAAGTGCCTGGCACCAGTGAGAACTGGCATGAAGGGAATGGGTCCTGGAGCCCCAAAGGGGCCAGGTGGTAGCCATCCCTGGCCCCAGGGAATACTCTACCCCTTTCGACTTTCCTTGCTGTGTACCTTTGGGGTGACTCATAAGATAGGTGGGGCTCCTCACTTGCTATCTCCTCATACAAGTCAAAGAGAGTTCCAAAGACTCACCCAACTCTGGGTCACCAAACAAAGTCTCAGCTCCATGGCAACCGACACACCCACAGTCTGAGGAGGTACACAGGGAAACTGTGCCTCCAAGGGTTGATCAGGCTGGCTTCATGTCCTCTGAAGAGAGAGGGCTCAGGGCTTTGTTTGGGCCGAGAGAGAAAGCATAGAGTACTGGTGCCCCCCACCCCAAGCCCTTATCCAGTGGGAGATGCTCCAGAGCCCTTCAACTCACCTGGTTCTGAGTCTTCCTACTACAAGGTGTCTCAACCCCTACCAATTGTGCTGTGTGTCTCTTATGACAGGCAGCTTGCTACCTCCAAAGTCCTATGAGAGTTTCCTGCATCTGCCACCATAAACTAGGAAGCATCTGCCTAGAATTCCCCAGTGAGGGGCTGGGATGTAGTTCAGTTGTAGAGTTCTTACCTAGCATGTACAGGGCTTTGGGTTCTACCTCCAGCATGGCAAATATAATCAAAGCAAAAAATAAAATAAAACATCTAAACCAACAGAAAACCAGGCATGGTGGCACAAGCCTGTACTCTCTCTCCCAGGGTGAGGCCATCTTGCACTACACTGGAAATTCCAGGCTAGCCTGAGATCCTTACCTCCAAAATACAAAAAAAGGGGTTGGAGACATGGCTCAGCAGTTAAGAACCCCCATTGCTCTTCCAGAGGATCCAGGTTAGTTCCCAGCATCCATGTGATGTTTCACAGATGTCTGTAACTCCAGTGCGTCCAGTGCTCTCTCCTGACTCCACAGGCACCAGGAGTGCATGGGACACACAGACATACATGCAGGCACAACGCTCACACAAATAAAAGCAACAAATTTTTTTTGAAAATTAAGTTCTTTCCTTAAAATATACAAAGAAAAATAAAGTCTTTCTTTTAGTAGGGGAAGATTTCAGTAACATCACATCACACGTTGTCTTTAACATTGTTTGTTATAGGGGCTGGAGAGATGGCTCAGTGGTTAAGAGCACTGGATGCTCTTCCAGAGGACCCAGGTTCAATTCCCAGCATCTACATGACAGCTCACAACTGTCTGTTAACACCTATTCCAGGGGATCCAACACTCTCACACAAACATACATGCAGGCAATGTACATAAAATGCACAGAAAATACAAATAAATTATATCTACAAAAAAGATTTTGTAACAGCTGGGCAGTGGTGGCACACATCTTAATCCCAGCACTCGGGAGGCAGAGGCAGGGGCTCTACCACTGAGACACACCCCAGCCCCTCACTGGGGGATTCTAGGCAGGGGCTCTACCACTGAGCCATACCCCAGCCCCTCACTGGGGGATTCTAGGCAGGGGCTCTACCGCTCAGCCACACCCCAGCCCCTCACTGGGGGATTCCAAACAAGAGTTCTACATCTGAGCAACATCCCAGCCCTTCACTTGCAGATTCTAGTCGGATGCTGTTGAGCTGTGCCCTCATCCCAAAAGATGATAAATTAAAACAAGCAACAATGATGACAACAAGAATCAGACTCTTCTACTGTAGCTCAGGCTAGCCTCAAACTCTTGCCTCGGCCTCCCGAGTGCTGAGATTACAAGTCTGACCTCCAAGCCCAGTTTGTCTTCCTGCTTTTTATTGCTTCATCCTTAACCTGAACAGCCCCAACTCATATGGAAGACCACACCTTGCCCAGATACTTGGGGTAGCCTTGGGGCTGTCCATGCCTTGTCCCAGGCTCTCTCTCCCATCTTCTTTAAAACTTTTTCTCAGGATTTTTATTTGCCTTTTATTATGTGTGTGTGTTAGGTGTGTGTGTTGGGAGAGGGGGTATGTGCACCTGAATGCAGGTGCTTTTGGAGGCATCAGATCCTCATGAGGCTGGAGTTACAGTTGTAAGCCACCACATGTGTGGTTGGGAATCGAACTTGGATCCTCAGCAAGAGTTGTTGGTGCTCTTAACGACTGATCTGTCTCTCCAGACCCGATGCCTTCCTTTCTTGACTGGTGCTTTTGTGTTCCTTCCTCTTTCCACTGGTTGAGCACCTCACAGAGTCAGCAGTGACTCTTCACCCCACTCTCCTTCTTCCACACTGAAACCCCCACTCTGGGTCAGGCGCCTCCCATGGGCTCCCACTACTGCTCCTGTGTTCCCTCTCATGGCGCTCAGCTCTGGGATCTCTAGGCCAGTTTCAGCTGTGTCTAGTGGAGAAGCCAGGAAAAGGTGCCAGAAGCGTCTGGAGGACCAGTCCCCTCCCCACTACTCCCAGGGGCTCTTCCACCGCCCTGGCCCTGTGGCTTAGGAGGGGGCCAGGCTAAGCCCAGAGGCTTCATGAAACACTTTGAGAAACTTGGGCTATTTGCGTTAAGGAGCATAGGGCGAGAGGGCTAGAGAGGGGAAGGGAGGCCTGGGTGATTAATGTGAGATTCCTCTAGGTCCCTCATTGGAGGGAAGCCAGGCAGAAGAATGGTTGTCAGGGCAACACATTCTTTTCTTTCTCTTGGGTCCTCTGGCCTGTGTCTCTCACAAGGAGTGGAGTTTCAGGATGCCAAGAGTGTAACAGGAGATGCCAAAGGGCCTGGACATCTTCTGGGTAAAATAAATGTTCACCTTGCAGAGGGAAAAACTGAAGGCAGGAAAGATGGGCAGAGC